CCAGCACCCGTACCAGCAGTATTCGAAAACTATCATCGCCGAAAAAAAAGTGAAATATTAAAAGTAAATATATATATAATTAATACGTAGACCTTAACAATATCCTAAAACTACTACAAATTTGTATAGAAATGTTTTACATTGAATATTAAATTCTATTACTCCCCATTTATAGAAATTTACTTAACCAAGGGATACAACTTACTGTTGTTTTCCTAAAAATATATAAAACTAAATAGTGATTCAATAACATTAAATTAAAAAAATGACTAGTTTTATTTTTATTAAATTTAATTACTAAAAATATTATACATCATCAGTAATTTCTTTATTCTTTATATTTTTAAAAATAATAATGAAAAACTGACGCAATTTAAACAGAAACACAATACCATTTTTATAAATTAAATAATTATTTAAACAAAATGTGCTGATGAAATGTATTAAACTGCACTCAAAGTCTTTCAGTAAAAAAAAAAAATATGTATTATATTAGCCGGATACCACATACAAGCCGAGAAAAAATCCCTCGATTTATCTTTTAAATACACATCTGCATTTTCAGGTTTAATAATATAATTGCTATTAGACGTTTTGTATTAGATCTATGTATAAGTAAACCGTCTAACGAATGAAAGTATGCTACATGTAAGAAAGAAGTATTACCATTATAAATCTGTATCAGTCCTCTTAAACCGATGTTAAAAACTGTAATACTAAAGCGAACATAGCCAGTCAAACTGACGCTGTAAATAACTTGTTTGAGGCAAAAAAAAGAAAAATACAATTGTATTTTCAAACCTAAAATGCAAATTCTAATGGGGATTCAATGTTCTCTTTAAAAAAGAAGAAAATTAAAACATAAAAATAAAATATAAATTAATTAATTAAAAGTACCAAAAGAAAAATAAAGTAAAAGGGCAATTATTTTTTTGCTGCAGTGGATTGAAGGGGTATTGGCTTATACCTAGAGCTGAAATAAAAGTGGGATCAAAGAAGAATATAAATATTATAAGAGTAAAATGAGACACAATAAATGAAACATTCTTTCCTTTCAAACAGCTGTAATCATAAAGATCTAAACTTCATCATAGCTGTCTTAGAGAGGAGCGAACAAAGCAGTGTGCACGTACACATGTACATACACACCCGCTATATTTGGGTAGCTTGCATAATTAATTAACTTTTCTTTCATTCTACTCATGTACCGTTCATAGTGTGACACAATGTTTGGTACAGGTACAATCTCAGAACATCTACCAGCGAATATGGGTTACAGTTGACCCTAGGTTTTTGTAAAGTGTGTCACAATGTTTGGTACAGGTACAACCTCAGAACACCTACCAGTGAATATGGTTTTGCAGTTAACCCTAGGTTTTTGGCTTTTAGAGGGAGGTGGACACACGCTAGGAACATGGAACACCACGGGACGGCTAAATATAGTTGTAAATGTTGCTCGGCTTTTGTTACCTAACAAATGTAGTACATACAATGTTTTAGCTTCAGCTGTTTGTTCAGTCAACAACATGCCCACATTTTACATCGGTTGCCGCAATGCCGACTATCCCTACATAACATACTGTGTCTATATTTCAGATCGGGTGCCGACTATGCCTACATAAAATACTGTGTCTTTATTTCAGATCGGGTGCCGACTATGCCTACATAAAATACTGTGTCCATATTTCAGATCGGGTGCCGACTATGCCTACATAAAATACTGTGTCCATATTTCAGATCGGGTGCCGACTATGCCTACATAAAATACTGTGTCCATATTTCAGATCGGGTGCCGACTATGCCTACATAAAATACTGTGTCTTTATTTCAGATCGGGTGCCGACTATGCCTACATAAAATACTGTGTCTTTATTTCAGATCGGGTGCCGACTATGCCTACATAAAATACTGTGTCCATATTTCAGATCGTGTGCCGACTATGCCTACATAAAATACTGTGTCTTTATTTCAGATCGGGTGCCGACTATGCCTACATAAAATACTGTGTCTTTATTTCAGATCGGGTGCCGACTATGCCTACATAAAATACTGTGTCTTTATTTCAGATCGTGTGCCGACTATGCCTACATAAAATACTGTGTCCATATTTCAGATCGTGTGCCGACTATGCCTACATAAAATACTGTGTCCATATTTCAGATCGGGTGCCGACTATGCCTACATAAAATACTGTGTCCATATTTCAGATCGTGTGCCGACTATGCCTACATAAAATACTGTGTCTTTATTTCAGATCGGGTGCCGACTATGCCTACATAAAATACTGTGTCCATATTTCAGATCGGGTGCCGACTATGCCTACATAAAATACTGTGTCCATATTTCAGATCGGGTGCCGACTATGCCTACATAAAATACTGTGTCCACATCGGATGCCGACTATGCCTACATAAAATACTGTGTCTATATTTCAGATCGGGTGCCGACTATGCCTACATAAAATACTTTGTCCATATTTCAGATCGGGTGCCGACTATGCCTACATAAAATACTGTGTCCATATTTCAGATCGGGTGCCGACTATGCCTACATAAAATAGTGTGTCCATATTTCAGATCGGGTGCCGACTATGCCTACATTAACGAAGCTTTTGGCAACTTCCCGGCATTCCTTTACTTGTGGGTGGCTGTGGTCATCATCCTGCCGACAGGAAACGCCATCACGGCCTTGACCTTCGCCAACTACGTCCTCCAGCCATTGTTCACTGACTGTGGACCACCGGACAATTTGATCAGCCTGACCGCGGCCCTTTGTCTGTGTGAGTAGTTGCTTGCATCGTATTTCCACCTCTGTCAGTAGTTGTAACATGTATCACCACCTCTGTCAGTAGTTGTATCATGTATCACCGCCTGTCAGTAGTTGTATCATGTATTACCACCTCTGTGAGTAGTTGTATCATGTATCACCGCCTGTCAGTAGTTGTATCATGTATTACCACCTCTGTGAGTAGTTGTATCATGTATCACCGCCTGTCAGTAGTTGTATCATGTATCACCACCTCTGTCAGTAGTTGTAGCATGTATCACCACCTCTGTCAGTAGTTGTATCATGTATCACCGCCTGTCAGTAGTTGTATCATGTATTACCACCTCTGTGAGTAGTTGTATCATGTATCACCGCCTGTCAGTAGTTGTGTCATGTATTACCACCTCTGTGAGTAGTTGTATCATGTATCACCGCCTGTCAGTAGTTGTATCATGTATCACCACCTCTGTCAGTAGTTGTAGCATGTATCACCACCTCTGTCAGTAGTTGTATCATGTATCACCACCTCTGTCAGTAGTTGTATCATGTATCACCGCCTGTCAGTAGTTGTGTCATGTAGTTCCGCCTCTGTCACTAGTCATATCATGAGCTTCCACTTCTGTCAGTAGTTGTATCATGTATTACCACCTCTGTCAGTACTCACGTCTGTCAGTAGTTGTATCATGTATCACCACCTCTGTCAGTAGTTGTGTCATGTATCTGTCAGTACTCACGTCTGTCAGTAGTTGTGTCATGTAGTTCCGCCTCTGTCACTAGTCATATCATGAGCTTCCACTTCTGTCAGTAGTTGTATCATGTATCACCACCTCTGTCAGTACTCACGTCTGTCAGTAGTTGTAATATCTACTGGGATCTCTGTCAGTGTCTAGTATACTGTATGCTTATTACAGATTTCGTGTAATTGTTGTACATCACTATACTTGCAAGAATGTCCGACCTAGCGACTGAACTATTGACCACTTGTACTCGCATTAAAATCTGTTGTATTCATTTAATAAGATCATCTACAATTTAAGAACAAAACGACGGTGGATTATTTAACCCTTCATATAAGAAAGTTTTGACCCAAATATGTGTACTTAGGATTCTGTCACTCCGCGAATGACCTTAATCAATCACCCCCCCCCCCCCCGTCCCACACCAGACAATAATTTGTGTCATTCAAGGTTAATCAATCCAAATATGCAGTCACCGATTTAATGTTATGTATCTTTAAAACAAGTATACACATTTCGATTTATTCCAAGTGGTTTTAGCATCCCCATTTATCCCACCTTATGTCAAACTATCCTCATCCCCCCCCCCACGACACTATCCCAATTTACCCCCCACTTACCCCCCCCCCCCCCCATGACACTATCCCTATTTATCCCCATTTTTTAAGCCGCAATGTATATTAATCGTATTTTCGAGACGGTAGGCCTACGCTACCATAATGAGCAGATAATTGTTATTTTATTTAGGGATAACAAAATTTCTCTAATGATATGATTCTAATACAAATATTTGTGTGCGTGTTAGGTGTCGACCTCATTAGTACAACTGAATTATAATGATAAATAAATCTATTGTCGACCTACTAATTGTTATGAAAAGTAAAATACCGATCACTGTTATCTTTTTACTTACCAAACGCTTTGACTTTTATTTCTAAACTAAATCAAAAGCGTGTTTAATTTTCTTACTTCAGTGCTTTTTAAAGCTTTTCGTTGTGAAGATTTTATAAACCATACCTAGATTTCTAGATCTTTATGTTTTAATAATCTAAACAAAGTTAGTTTCACTGAATCTTTAAAAGTTGGTTAAATATTTGTCTGGGCAATTTGAATAGAAATTATTGCATATCAGGTACTTAAAAAAAAAGAACCGTTTGAAAATAATTAATGCAATAACAGTTAATCGCTGTGGAATGTAAGAGGGATATAGTAGATCACGCTTTGTCAAGTTGTTGTAGATAAAATGTAAAAACACTAACAAAATATGACAGCGGCAAGCCGTTTCTCTGGTGGCAGCTAAGTTCATATATTTTAGAAGAAAATTTTCAATTATTAAAAACAATCAAAGTGTAATGGTACAAATGTTTAAAATAATTTAGAATATTTTTTTAAACACAAGTAATTTCATCCTGTACGCTTTAAATCACCATGATAGAACGCACCATTATAAATTAGTAAGCGAAAATAGTAACAGGAAAATTTATCTGGCACGTTTTCCCAGTTGACAACAGATACGAAGAAACGCGCGTGTACCATTAGTGTAGTGATACTGCGACGCCTCATGTTCTCGCTGACAAATTCCAAACTTTCTGTCGCAACATTTTGTCAGCTGTTCTTGGGATGTTAAGAACCGCTCACTAGCACATTGTTGGACCGTTGCTGGTTTTTCTAATACACCTGAACTTCTGATTCGCGTTAAACAGGTTTTCGTGTATGATGAAATCATGTGTCATAGTAAACTACTTGGTAACTAGAATCTAACTAGTCTTAGCAGTTATAGTTTTTTAACTTACACATATTGTGATAGATCTATTCTAGATTTCATCTAGATCTAGATCTAGAATCTAGATCTAAGTGATAACGAGTGTTCTGTTCAGCAACTTCTCTAGCTAGATCTAGATTTAGATACTGTGTACTACACTACTGTGTAGTAGTGTACAGTGGTCGTTGTAGTTGTAGGTAAAAATCAGTTATTTATCTGACTCTGAGTGATGATAAGTGACATTAAGTAGGCCCCCTATTAAAAATGTCAAAGTTTCTTAGACCAGTTTGTTTAGACTTTTGAGTTTAGATGTTAGTCACTTTTCACAGCACTTGTCTGTAGTTGTACCTTAAGCCTTAAACTTTAAACCTTAAGCTAGAAAGTAGAAAAATCCATAGCATAATTTATTAAACTTTAATTTTATTAGCCTATAGATAGGCCTAAATAATCCGATATATTCTAACTAATTAGACCCACGATTTAAATTCTAAGGCAAGCATATTTACTTTTATTTAGGGCCTAATTTTTAAAATGTATTATTGTCTAATGTTACATAATTTAGAGGAGGTGAATCTAGTTCTAGAATTTTGTACCATATTAAAAGTTACTAATATAGTTAGGCCTAATATAGTATAATTAGTATAATAGTACAGCCTACTATGACAATTTCTATAGGCCTAATTTCTTGTTATGGGTAGATACTAGTAGATAGGGCTTGTTGTAGGTAGATAGGGCTTGTTGTAGGTGTCTACGCTTTTTTCAGCAACTACCTAATTTTTTAAAACTCAAAATGTTTTTATCATTTACCATTAGATCCGTAGGCCTATCTACATCTTTGGTTTTTAATTAACACGCACCTAATCAACTGTATAGAAATATAAGGTTTTGTAGATCTGAGTTAGTCTAAGTCACAGAAATAGTTGTGTTGAAGTTCAGTACCCAATGTTTTATTTAAATATTTTGGTCTAGGGTCGTTGAAGTTCAGTACCCAATGTTTTATTTGAATATTTTTGGTCTAGGGGTCGTTGAATGGTGTTTGTGACAAGCTCATATAAAATGTATTGTGTACAAGCAAACAAAAACTCTACTGCAACTGTTCAAGCAAGTACCAGCCACAAAACCTGCTGATCAGGCAAATCTTTTGTCTTAATACTCTGAGAATCAAGGCATCTCATCCACCACCATGTCCAAAGAAAAGGAAATCGCCATAGAGTCCCATGATGGGCCAGTGAGGTTAAAGAAACAGTTGGGTGTGTTCAACGGAGTGGCCATGATTGTTGGTATAATTGTGGGCAGTGGCATCTTCGTCTCACCTAAAGGTGTCCTGCTGGAGGCCGGGTCAGTCGGGTCATGTCTGCTAATCTGGGCCATCACTGGCGTCGTGTGTGGTATAGGAGCCATGTGCTATGCAGAGTTGGGGACATGCATTACAAAGTCTGGCGCTGATTACAGCTACATCAAGGAGTCTATAGGGGATCTACCTGCGTTTTTATACCTGTGGGTTTGTCTCGCGGTCATTGTTCCAACTGGCAATGCCATAACGGCCTTGACATTTGCTAATTACATTTTACAACCTGGCTTCCCTAACTGTGGGTCGCCAGATGCGGCAGTGACATTGTTGGCAGCGCTGTGTTTGTGTAAGTCTTTCTTACATTATTCTCATTTATTTATCTAACTCTTACTTTCTTATATTACATTATCATTTATTTGCCTAAGTCTTTCTTACATTATTCTCATTTATTTATCTAACTCTTACTTTCTTATATTACATTATCATTTATTTGCCTAAGTCTTTCTTACATTATTCTCATTTATTTATCTAACTCTTACTTTCTTATATTACATTATCATTTATTTGCCTAAGTCTTTCTTACATTATTCTCATTTATTTAACTAACTCTTACTTTCTTATATTACATTATCATTTATTTGCCTAAGTCTTTCTTACATTATTGTCATTTATATTAACTAACTCTAGCTTTCTTCTTAAATTATCATTTATTTGCCTAAGTCTTTCTTTCTTTACATAATTGTGTCATTTATTTAACTAACTCTTGCTTTCTTATTACATTATCATTTGCATTTTTATTTGCCTGTCTGTCTTCCTATCTTACATTGTCTTTTATTAATCAATGCCTGTCTCTCAAAATTTGTATTTTTTTTTAAACTAACTATTTATGGTGTAGCAACATTGACAGCAGTGGATTATGCTTAAATTAATTGCGCTGGTCTTAATGTCTGGCAAACTAGTTGCCTTTGATCCGTGATATCTATCATTGGTATCCTCTTATTTATTCTGTCCAAAGATGAAAGAGGTTTGTAATCAATAAAGTTAATTAAAAAGTTGGTATAGTAATTGGCTGAATTAATTAATGATGCAAGCCTCACTGTTTTAACCATGTCATTATTTTGAATTATTGCGGAGTTTGACTAATGAGTTTGACAGTTAATTAAAAATGTTCCCATGAAGCAGATTTGATCTGACAGGCTAACTGTACAACGTGACAATGTTGACAGAAAGCCTGCGTGGGTTTGTTCCCCTGTTACCCCTGTACTTGTAGATGAAGCAGTCTATATCTCATAACCCTAGTGGTGAGTGAGGAGTTGACTGTATGACCTCTGTTTTAGTGTTGGATGGCTGGAAGTATCAACTGTGGCTGACATCGTTCTAGTCATGCATTTCTGGGGACCCCCCCCCCCCCCCCCGCCACAGTCAAAATATAAAAATATATATCTTTTATATAATAAAGAAGTACTTCATGACCCCCAGCTCCCAGCTAAAACAAAGCCTTAGAGAAGCCCTGCAAACTGTCATTGTTCTGGTGTTGTAAATACAAAAGAAGATTGTCGCGATATGACGTCAAACTAACTCCTCCAATAGATGGAGTCGATAAATAGCCATCTTTAGATGTAGTACATGTGAATATAATATATCCCTTGTTTTCTAACAAGCTGCTAGTTGCTCCACATGTTTTATCTAACCGCTCACTCCTCACATGACCTGGAAATGACGTCACCGTTCCGCGAATTCTCCGTTGGGAGTGTACTGCGGCTATTGAATTGGTTTATTGTCTACAAACACCGCCTACAACTTCTGTCGGGTTTCTCGTGCGTATTACTTGAGATCTCAAGGCTGATTATAGAAGTAATATCCTGTTTATTTCGTGCTATGTTGCCTGTAGACGTGGTAGTACTGTCCTCTCATTAAACACGTCCTGTCACCTCTAGGTACTGATCTACTTCACCTGTACATCTATGTTGACTGTAGACGTGGTGTACCGTCCTCTCATGAGTCCTGTGTTCACCTCTAGATATTGATCTACTTCACCTGCACCTACTCACCATTGATTTCACGTGGCTCACAGGTCATTCACAGACGACCTTTACAAATCACGTAACAGGTCGGTCACTTGTATCTGTGATCATAAAGTTCAGCGTTCTCACGCCACGGTGTGTGTGTGGGGGGGGGGGGGTGTAATTGGCGGGGCTGAGAAATTGTGTTGACGGGACGTTTGAGCGACCGAGGGCCGTAACGGAGCGTGTAACGGGGTTATCTGGGCCAGCGGTCTCTCACATTAACGGCCGGGCGGCGCTTCTGTTCCACTGGTCAGGCTCATTACGGGGTTGATCACATACAGACAATAGGCCAAGATTTGGTCAGTCGTTGTTTTTGTTCCGGTAAGGTTGCCGGCCGTTACGTTTATCGGGTCGAATAATGACCCATATTCGTGTGTGGGCTAAAACAGGGCCTGTATCGGGTCGAATAATGACCCATGTTCGTGTGTGGGCTAAAACAGTGCCTGTATCGGGTCGAATAATGACCCATGTTCGTGTGTGGGCTAAAACAGTGCCTGTATCGGGTCGAATAATGACCCATGTTCGTGTGTGGGCTAAAACAGTGCCTGTATCGGGTCGAATAATGACCCATATTCGTGTGTGGGCTAAAACAGTGCCTGTATCGGGTCGAGTAATGACCCATGTTCGTGTGTGGGCTAAAACAGTGCCTGTATCGGGTCGAATAATGACCCATATTCGTGTGTGGGCTAAAACAGGGCCTGGAGCTGTTCGAAATGTGGCCGTCACTTTCTCCTTTGATGCGGGGAGTGGCCGAGTCTATCATTAACATACGTGGACACAGTTGACGTCATACGTTACGTCACTGCGTACATGCGTTTTTGTTTCATTTCATTAATTTTTTTTACAGCAGACCTTCATCTATCGTGGATTTAGTTTGCTTATTTAGATACACGGCCTATAATCCCCGTGGTGTGCACATGTCGGGAACCACGTGACCCTGTGAGTAGGTCAAACCGTGCACGACATTTTGTGTTGGCTGCTAGTGTATGTTGTTAGACAGTGACGGCCTTGACCTCATTCTACAGCTCGGGTTACACCACTTAAGTGACAAGACGTTTGCCTCTGGTCACAGCTGGGGGGGGGGGGGGGCGTTAAACATGTGTTGTGGTCATGTAGCAACATTACCTTGCTAGTGTTCGATGGATCAATTCCCTTTTCATGTAGCCTATAGATCTATGTTCCTGTTATCCTTTAAGACCTGATAGTCTTGCCCTTTTCCCCTGTAAGTACACCTGTCTGTTAATGCTATACTGAGTTTTTTCCAGACATTTCTTTGATCCCCCACCCCTACCGGTCACCGAAAGAAATAGAATTAATACATAAAATGTATACCCTTGCCCTTACCAGTGTCCGACCCCCTCTCCTCGGTGAGGAAAAAGTATGAAAGAAAAATCTTGATGTCGACGTGTGAAAATACTTTCCCGTGTTTAGTGTTGTGTGGTGAAGCATGTCAGCCACATGCAGTGTGTGGGTGTGTTGGACTGTGTTCAAGTCGTTGATATCCCCAGTTAGAATGGAGGCAATCTGCTTTAGCCGCTGGTGTACATAGAATACGTGTCCATAAGATACCCCCAGTTAGAATAGAAGCAATCTGCTTTAGTCGCTGGTGTACATAGAATACGTGTCCATAACGCGGCCGACTAGACGTGCCTATTCGCGTTGTATTTGTGTTCAACAAATAGGCCGTGTCGTCGACTCTTGCCTTCCGTAGTGCGGTCTGTAGGACCCGTCACTCGGTGTTGAGGCTTTTACACCGTTTATCTCCCCTAGTTTCTGCTGTTGAACTGTTATTGTTGTAGCTGGTGGGGTCGTGTTTGGCCCGTTCTTTAGAGGGCAGCATTTTATGGCCACTCGTCAATGACCAAAGCAACCCCGGGGAGGGGGGGTCATGCTTGATTAGTTTGACCCCACCCAATTAGTCATATCCCAGTTGACTCAAGCTGTGTTACAGAGCTGAGCTAAGACCCACATGATCTGTTACAGAGCTGAGCTAAGACCCACATGATCTGTTATAGAGCTGAGCTAAGACCCACATGATCTGTTATAGAGCTGAGCTAAGACCCACATGATCTGTTATAGAGCTGAGCTAAGACCCACAGGATCTGTTATAAGCTGAGCTAAGACCCACATGATCTGTTATAGAGCTGAGCTAAGACCCACATGATCTGTTATAGAGCTGAGCTAAGACCCACATGATCTGTTATAGAGCTGAGCTTCTGCATATTGACAGGAAGGACAGTAGTCTGAGTTCAGCCTGTATCATATTTATTTTTAGCATTCCACGGCCCATGTTAAGTTTGGCAACTTGACCTAGCTAGTCAGCTACTCCTCAATTTACCATTCTCAGAACTTGACCTTGTATTTGTGGAATTAGGTGTCCTGTTCTCAGAATTTGACCTTTTATTTGTGGAGTTAGGTGTCCTGTTCTCAGAATTTGACCTTTTATTTGTGGAATTAGAGGTGTCCTGTTCTCAGAACTTGACCTCTTATTTGTGGAGTTACATGTCCTGTGTTGAAAACACTTGTTCTTTTGTCTTTATGTTGGTACAGCAATACATCCTGTGCTGCAGGGGGGGGGGGGTTGTTTATGTACTTTAATTTACACAAACATCCATCACCAAACTTTAACATGTAGCAGATGTAGACTGATGTATCTAGCACTGCCCCCCACCCCACTCCCCTCAACAAATGGTGGAGGTAGACTGTCAGACCCCCACCCCCACAACAATTGCTGGAGGTTGTTTGTGATTTGTGTAACTGCCCAAGGGACTTTGAAGCTGTTAATTAGTTTAATTATACTCCAAATGCTTTAAAAGTTATCTAGTGTATGAGCCATGTGACTTGAAACTCTGGGTAATTGTGGTATCTAGTGTATGAGCCATGTGACTTGAAACTTTTGTCTGGGTAATTGTGGTATCTAGTGTATGATCCATGTGAATTGAAACTTTACTCCGGGTAATTGTGGTATCTAGTGTATGATCCATGTGAATTGAAACTTTACTCCGGGTAATTGTGGTATCTAGTGTATGATCCATGTGAGTTGAAACTTTTGTCTGGGTAATTGTGGTGTCTAGTGTATGATCCATGTGACTTGAAACTCTGGGTAATTGTGGTATCTAGTGTATGATCCATGTGACTTGAAACTTTTGTCTGGGTAATTGTGGTATCTAGTGTATGATCCATGTGAATTGAAACTTTACTCTGGGTAATTGTGGTATCTAGTGTATGATCCATGTGACTTGAAACTTTTCTCTGGGTAATTGCGGCCTGGGAAACTGGATATGTCTGGTGTTATGTTCCCACCGGGGGAATTCCCTGGGCCAGTAAATGGTACCAGGTCATGGGGGTTGGACAACAGTGAGAACAGTGGAGGGAGAGAAATGGGCAAAAGTTCATGTCTCAGCACATTCAGGGTCATGGGGTTAGAGGTGATAGGGACACAGGGTTAAAGGTGAGAGAGCTTAGGTTATTGATACAAGTAGGTTATTGAATTACATGACAGTGAGTTCCACTAGCTGTGTGGAACTGACGTGACATTATGGAGTCTAAAAGAGAAAGCATTATCTCCCACAGGCTGTAAGACAAGTATTATCAAATAAGTTGTCCATTGGTAAAGTTAGGGTAAAGGTTAGCAGTCAGTCCCTCATATGCACTGTAAAGGTTATCAATCAGTCCCTCATATGCACTGTAAAGGTTATCTCCATGTTGTATCTGACTGCAAGTGCAGGAGTACCTGTCATCTGTTTTTGTGTGCACTTTTATGGGCCCGCTATCTGCCTGTGGTGTATGGGCCCGCTATCTGCCTGTGGTGTATGGGCCTGCTATCTGCCTGTGGTGTATGGGCCTGCTATATGCCTGTGGTGTGGTAGTCATTAGGTGTTTTGTGTGTACTTTTATGGGCCTGCTATATGCCTGTGGTGTAATAGTGATTAGGTTGGACCCATGTAATCCAGCTGTTGACTTGCTCAAGTTGGCCTAGACTAAAAAGTTAGGTCTGTTTATTTGATGTGCCATCTCATCCAACTTTGTTAGGTGCTTAGGTGGGCTTATCATAATGTTCAAACTTTGTTATTTGCTTAGGTGGGCTTCTCATTACATTAAAACTTTGTTAGGTGCATAGGTGGGCTTCTCATAATGTTCAAACTTTGTTAGGTGCTTAGGTGGGTTTCTCATTATGTTCAAACTTGTGACCACATTATGGACTTGGGACCCCTGATTTACAGTACAAATTACTGGGTGTGTAGAGAGACAATCCTAGAAACTGACAGAACAAATAACAACTGACCTTGAAACTGATTGGCATAGATTGGTTCAATTAACAAAAGTATTACTGAATGTTCTGGTCATTTTTATCTGTAGTTTTATCATTTAATGTGTCCATCTTCTGTTACACAGGTCTGCTGACCTTCATCAACTGTACCAAATATTTGTGTCATTAATTTAATGTGCTGACCTTCATTAACTGTACCAAATATTTGTGTCATTAATTTAATGTGCTGACCTTCATTAACTGTACCAAATATTTGTGTCATTAATTTAATGTGCTGACCTTCATTAACTGTACCAATTATTTGTGTCATTAATTTAATGTGCTGACCTTCATCAACTGTACCAATTATTTGTGTCATTAATTTAATGTGCTGACCTTCATTAACTGTACCAAATATTTGTGTCATTAATTTAATGTGCTGACCTTCATCAACTGTACCAAATATTTGTGTCATTAATTTAATGTGCTGACCTTCATCAACTGTACCAATTATTTGTGTCATTAATTTAATGTGCTGACCTTCATTAACTGTACCAAATATTTGTGTCATTAATTTAATGTGCTGACCTTCATTAACTGTACCAAATATTTGTGTCATTAATTTAATGTGCTGACCTTCATCAACTGTACCAAATGTTTGTGTCATTAATTTAATGTGCTGACCTTCATCAACTGTACCAAATATTTGTGTCATTAATTTAATGTGCTGACCTTCTGACCTCAGGTTTGCTGACCTTCATCAACTGTACCAATGTAGCATGGGCGACCAGAGTCCAGGATATTTTCACATTCACCAAGATCTTAGCTTTAGTCATCATCATCATCACTGGCATCGTCAAGATAGGCATGGGTAGGTTGTGGATTGTCTAGATTGTGTGTGGTCAAGATTGGGTAGGTTGTGGGTTGTCTAGATTGTGTGTGGTCAAGATTGGGTAGGTTGTGGGTTGTCTAGATTGTGTGTGGTCAAGATTGGGTAGGTTGTGTGTGGTCAAGATTGGGTAGGTTGTGTGTGGTCAAGATGGCATGGGTAGGTTGTGGGTGGTCAAGATTGGGTAGGTTGTGGGTGGTCAAGATTGGATAGGTTGTGTGTGTTGAAGATTAGGTAGAGAAATTTTGTTTGTTAAGTAAAGGGCTAATTGTTGTGTTAATTTACCATATAAATTTTATAAAGATTATTTATAAAGTATATAAAGATTATTTGTTTATACTTTGTTGTTCCAATGTTGAGCATTGAAGTAATCCCATGACCTCTGACCTGAAACATGTTTGCCCCCAGGTTCCACAGAAAACTTCCAGAATGTTTTTGAAGGCTCTACAACACAACCTGGGAGAATTGCTCTAGCTTTTTATTCCGGTTTATTCTCTTACTCTGGCTGGTAAGTCTCCTTATATTCTCTGGCTGGTGAGTCTCCTTATATCACTCCACTGGCAGCCTGCACCTTGTTGGTCCCCACTGGCAGCCTTCACCTTGTTGGTTCCCACTGGCAGCCTTCACCTTGTTGGTTCCCGCTGGCAGCCTTCACCTTGTTGGTTCCCACTGGCAGCCTTCACCTTGTTGGTCCCCACTTAACATCTGTATTACACCCTAGCTTGACAGACTTGTACTTATAGAATTTAGTTTTTTTGCTAGCCAAGGGAAGTAATGCAAATAAATTTTAATATCATGCCCTATCATAGGTTACAGTTCTTACTAAACTCTTGATGGAACCTTAATATGCTGTGTTAAATTAACAGTTTAATCTTGTATTTAAATTATCAACTTGCCTAACTTATTAGCACTATATTTTGCCTTCTCCAATTTCAGGAATTATTTAAACTTTGTTACTGAAGAAATGAAAGAACCATACAAGTAAGTTTCATTTTATTAAACTAACAGAAAATCTTTTATTTCATTAATTTTTTTATTAATTTTGTAGTCCAAATTGAGGATGTTATTTGCTGGTAAGGTCATCCTGCCCCTATTATCCATCTCAACAAAACATCCAAAATATCCTGTTTAGTCATGCTAGATTTTTAAGCACCACCACTTAATTTAAACATTGTATCTACAATATGTTTTTGTGAAGCGCTAAGAGATGAATGAAACTAAAAATTTCAGAAATCTTCCTCGTGCCATCTGGATCTCCCTGCCACTTGTCACTGTCATCTATATCCTTGCCAATGTGGCCTACTTTGCTGTCATGACACCAGCGGAGATGTTGGCATCTGATGCTGTTGCTGTGGTGAGTGAGGGTTTGATTCTTTTGATACAACTTTTTGATCTGTGGTGAGTCAGGGGTTGATTCTTTTGATACAACTTTTTGATCTGTGCTAAATGGATGTGGTGAAATAAAAACACTTTCAGTCGAGATTTCTTTCAAACCTGGATTGTGAAATTTTTTCATCTATTGTAATAAATGAGTACTCTACACATAATAACAAAAGAGTAATTAATTAGGTAAAATTAATTAATTAGGTGGTAGCCATCTGTTACTCAGGCAGATGTTCACAAGGGGAGATAATACTCATATACACTACTCTTATACTTCATTAAATAATTTTTTAAATAGCACTAATTTATACTGTCCTTTATAAAACAATTTTTAAGACGCACAACTTTATACTGTATTTCTTGTTGCCACTAGACATTTGCTGACAGAACACTTGGGGTCATGTCCTGGATCATGCCAGTGTTTGTTGCCTGCTCCACATTTGGCTCACTCAATGGTGCCATCTTCACTTCCTCCAGGTTAGTTCACCATCAGCCGTTTGGTTAATCAAAGGGTGTTTTGTTTGGTAAATCTCTAGTTCAGTCAAAAGGTGTTTTGTTTGGTAAATGACTAGTTTTGTAGTCTGGTAAAACCAGTGGCGTAGCGAGGTCGGGTGTCACCCGGTGCGGCACTTAATGGCGTCACCCCCCCCCAGAGGCATAGAGACCCTTTCCAGGGACAAACTTTCGATTTGCCCCCCCCCCCCCCCACCCTCAAGTTTTTCAATTTGCACCCCCCTCAAACTTTCGATTTGCACCCCCCCTCGAGTTTTTCTCTATACATTTTGCTATTTTTTGCCTTGGTGTCACCCCCCTCCCCCCTAAATGGTGTCACCCGGTGCGGTCCGCACCCCCCCCCCCCCCCCCCTCGCTACGCCCCTGGGTAAAACACAAGGCATAGAAAAAGTTAATTGACTTTTTATTGAAACCGTCACCTTCATGTTTGGTGAAGAGATGGGACTTGACCTATTTTTAAGTATTTTAAAATTAGAATTTTTTTTTTTGAGAAAAATATTCGCATCAGCTGTATGATTTTTTTTTTGTATGAGCATTTTTGGTGGCTGACGTTTTCTTTAAATACTACAATTTTTGAGACCCAAGTCACCCTCACCTGCTTGCTAAAGGCCCTCTGTTTATGAGGCTCATGTTGTTTCTATTTCATCACATGATAGGATTTAGTTGTATAATTAGATAATTTTAATTGGTATTTTTATTTGATTGTTTCTAAGTTAAAATATTTTTTAATTCATTTAATTTTGTGTAAGTTGAAGAGTCCCAGTAAAAAGATTCTATTTATAAGTCAGGTGTCACAGTTGCCTCCTGTTTTGTTTCAGGCTGTTTTTTGTTGGTGCCCGTCATGGCCACTTGCCAGGTTTTTTGGCCACCATCACCATGAAGCACATGACACCACTGCCTGCACTGCTCTTTGGGGTAGGTTTATAGCCTTCTATTTGGGTAGGTTTATAGCCTTCTATTTAGGTAGGTTTATAGCCTTCTATTTGGGTAGGTTTATAGCCTTCTATTTGGGTAGGTTTACAGCCTTCTATTTGGGTAGGTTTATAACATTCTTTTTGGGTAGGTTTATAACCTTTTATTTGGGTAGGTTTATAAGCTTTTATTTGAGTAGGTTTACAGCCTTCTATTTGGGTAGGTTTATAACATTCTTTTTGGGTAGGTTTATAACCTTTTATTTGGGTAGGTTTATAACCTTTTATTTGGGTAGGTTTATAACATTCTTTTTGGGTAGGTTTATAACCTTCTATTTGGGTAGGTTTATAGCCTTCTATTTGGGTAGGTTTATAGCCTTCTATTTGGGTAGGTTTATAACCTTCTATTTGGGTAGGTTTATAACCTTCTATTTAGGTAGGTTTATAACCTTCTATTTGGGTAGGTTTATAACCTCTTATTTGGGTATGTTTATAGCTTGTATGTGGGTAGGTTTATAGCCTTTTATTAGGGTAGGTTTATAACCTTCTATTTATAGCTCTCACTGCAGCATAAATATTTATAACCTATTCCTACCTTATATCATGTGTTCCCAGTGTGTGACTTCACTAATTATGCTGTCATCAAACGACATCTATGCTCTGATCAACTACGCCAGTTTTGTAGAGACTTTGTTTATTGGGATGTCTGTCACTGGGCTACTCATACTCAGGGTCACTCAGCCTCATCTAGAACGTCCAATTAAAGTAGGTCATCAGTCTGACATCATTCTAGTCTGTTGTAATACTGACATCCACAACATATAGCTTCAAAATAGTTAATGCTTAGTTAAATTTGAACAAGGTTAGTTTATTGTCTATAAGCTTAATGACTAACAGAAACAAAACTAAATCTATCAGAAAATTATATTTTTTAAAAGTAAAAAAATTCAATGTTGTTTTACCATAAGTCAAGAGAGGAAGGAATAAGTTGTTTCAATGACAAAAAGATAGGCAACTGGAAATGAACATGATTTTAAATTGTCAACTAGTCTATGGGGAAAGTTAACAATAGAAAGTGATACAAATTGTATAAGTAATCTACACTCAAACAATTGTATTGCTTGACTACACCTTTCTCTCTCTCCTCAGGTGAATTTATTTTTCCCAGTGTTTTACTTTGTGATCTGTGTGTTTCTAATCATTACACCCCTGACCTCAAGCCCCATGGAGTGCCTTATGGGATTGGTGATGATAGCCACGGGCATCCCCATCTACATGCTGGGGGTCATGTGGGAGAGGAAACCAAGAGGATTCAGGATTGCATTTAGTAAGTTCTCTCCCTTGTTTCTATAGTACTTTATGGGAGATTTAAGACTGTTAGTAAGTTCGCTCCCTTGCAACTACATGTTAAAGCTCCAGCTACATAATTTAAGAGATTAAATGTGAAAGTGGAAAACAAGAGGGTTTAGAGTAGCATTGTAATCCTACACTTTACCAGCATAAAACGTTAACTTTATCAGGAAAATAGTCTTAGCTTATTCAGCTTATAAAAAAAAATCCAACGTAGTCTTTGGAGCTACTTTCTTTTTTAATAATTAATTATAAATAAAGGCCGATTCAATGGCAGAAGCATTTTAATTACATTTAATTTCACTAATCATATTGCCCATAATTTTGAGGAAAAAAAGCTTAACTTTAGAAAAATCATAGAAAATGGACCACTAGTGATAGAACAACAAGAAAACAACTTGATTAAAATTTACGAGCCGACCCGCGGTGTATCATACGCCGCTTTTTGGTTGTTTTATTTTCTACTTTTCAGTAATTCATAATTTGTGAATTCGACAGTACCATAATGCCACTGAAAATATTTGCTTTAAAACACTAAAACCCTACTTTCCCCCAACCCCTACCCCATCCCCCCCACCCCAGTGAAAGCAGCCTCCTCTTAGCTACCTCCCCTAAGTTTAAAATCGTTTCAAACTAAATTATCTGCCCCTAATAGCTGTCACTAAACCCGGCTCTACGATTGTAAACATTCAACGTGAACCACAGCTCACCAGACCATGTGGGGGTGGGGGTTGTAGCGATATGCTTAGAAAGGAAGAGAGGGGGCTGCTAGGCGCGCATTACAGCTTGGTGTTTTCTATGGTATCCAAGAAGAGAATTATATATATAGATTATTCCAGCTTTCACCGGATCTTCTAAATCTTGTCACCAATGAGACTTCTGCAACAACATGTAAATAAACGTACTATACATAGTAGGGTGACCGCTGGCGCACTGGACTGTACCACACACACATTTTTTGGGTGACCTCTGTAAAGAGTTAATGAAGGAAGTGTAAAGAAAATATTGGAATCACTTATAAAACCACACTGATTTTTCAAAATCTCATTACCACATAAACAAAAATTGGATGGGGAGGGGGGAAGGTTCAAGCTTTTTGGACAGTAGAATTTTTTTTTTAAAGTTCAGTCCCCTTCTGTCATTGGTGCAAGTTGTGGACGGAGTATGCGAATAATCTTGACATCTGGATCTAGTTCTCTCCCCTGCTCTGAGTGAGGGTAGAGTTGGGGTGTGTGGGTTGTGATGGTCACAGTCCGCGCAAGTTTCATGACAGAAATATTTTTCTCTTCCAGATAAATTCTCTCAGCTATCTCAGAAGTTGTTTTATTCTGTCCACGAGGAGCTGAAGGAAGACTAGAGCAAGAAAGATACAAATTTTGATGGACTTATTCAACATTTGATGGACTTATTCAACATTTGATGGACTTATTCAACATTTGATGGACTTATTCAACATTTGATGGACTTATTCAACATTTGATGGACATTCAACATTTTTTAAAGATTTGATGCAACTAGCAATATTTTATGTAAAACTGTGTTTTAAAAAGAAACATTCCTTGACATGGCTTCTCTTATTGACCAATTAAACCACAACACCACATCACCTGCACTCATGCTGACCATTCACCCACACACTGAACAGTCCACTCACCCACACACTAGACAGTCCACTCATCCACACACTGGACAGTCCACTCACCCACACACTGGACAGTCCACTCACCCACACACTGGACAGTCCACTCACTCACCCACACACTGGACAGTCCACTCACCCACACACTGGACAGTCCACTCACCCACACACTGGACAGTCCACTCACTCACCCACACACTGGACAGTCCACTCACCCACACACTGGACAGTCCACTCACCCACACACTGGACAGTCCACTCACCCACACACTGGACAGTCCACTCACCCACACACTGGACAGTCCACTCACCCACACACTGGACAGTCCACTCACCCACACACTGGACAGTCCACTCACCCACACACTGGACAGTCCACTCACCCACACACTGGACAGTCCACTCACCCACACACTGGACAGTCCACTCACCCACACACTGGACAGTCCACTCACCCACACACTGGACAGTCCACTCACCCACACACTGGACAGTCCACTCACCCACACACTGGACAGTCCACTCACCCACACACTGGACAGTCCACTCACTCACCCACACACTGAACAGTACACTCACCCACACACTGGACAGTTCACTCACCCCCACACTGGACAGTCCACTCACTCAGTGTCAGTAACTGTAACAAAGCCCCCATGATGTGTCAGTTCACCTGACCCAGTGTACCCAATGTTAGCACCAGTATTGAGATGTTCATCTTTTGCTTCAGTGTTCAGTTTTTTAGTTGCTCTCATCCATGAGATTGTCTACACTTGTTTTAACTCTACTCATTCTTACATTTCTTTTGATGATTTTTTATTTCTTGTTTTAAAATAATTTTAAATGAACACTTAATAACTATGAAAGTCGCTGTATCTGATTTAAATTTACATTGTGCTGGTGAAACTAGCCTGCTATTGATTCCACCTGCCAAGGGAGTTAATTCTTCTGTTTTTGTCATTAACTTGGCCAGATATTTTATGACATCTAATTTTCATGACCTACTTATCTGGCAGGGGATCTAGCAATTGCTAAAGCTGACCGGAGTGGGTCCTCTGACCCTAACCGGAGTGGCTCCTCTGACCCTAACCGGAGTGGGTCTCTGACCCCTAACCTGACTGGGTCTCTGACCCTAACCGGAGTGGCTCCTCTGACCCTAACCGGAGTGGGTCTCTGACCCCTAACCAGGCTGGGTCTCTGACCCTAACCGGAGTGGGTCCTCTGACCCCTAACCAGACTGGGTCCGCTGACCCCTAACCTGACTGGGTCTCTGACCCTAAATGGTTGAATTGATCTTAAACTGGAAGTTTTAGCTGTAAGATTGCTTCACTCAGGGTAGATAACTAATACTGTTTTTGGCCTTCAAGTTATGCCTTTTTAACAATGTTTCCATCCAACACAAATATTTATACTGTGAATCTCTGCTGCTTATATACGTATATTTTGTTTTTTATGTGGACACATTTCTTTGATCTATACAGACATTCTGACAACTTAGCAGAGTTTGAGTTTTATTATTGATTGTGTGTGTGTGTGGAGCTGGGTGTGGTGTGTGTGGGTGGGAGTCATAAAAGGTGTAATCTAATCTGTGGTGAGCGAGGAGTGAGTGTGTGGCGGGATAACATGCGGATAGATGGAGGGAGATAATCTGTTTCAACTTGACAGTCAGGGATTAACACGTTAGAGGGAGACAACCTAGCTGCTGTAACACGTTTAAGGGAAACCACCCCAGTTGCTGTAATAAGTTAAAGGTAGACAACCTGCCAGTAATGTCCTCACCGTGGAGTGCTTGGACGGTCCGGATTAATGACGTCATCATACCCAAGTCCAACATGTACCAGAGTAAGTAGATCCACTTCGTGGGAACACATTTGCTACTTTGTATTTGTTGCACGAGAACTAATAAGGCTAGCAGCATGGTTGGTCAACTGGATGTTCATGCCAAATAAATTGGCACTCCGTACTTGATAGCCTAATGAACAAGTGTAAGCCATCATAATTCAAGCACTAACTTTTTAAAAACCTCTAGACTACTAACTTTTTAAAAACCTCTAGACTACTAACTTTTTAAAAACCTCTAGACTACTAACTTTTAAAAAAAACCTCTAGACTACTAACTTTTTAAAAACCTCTAGACTACTAACTTTTGTAAAACCTCTAGACTACTAACTTTTGTAAAACCTCTAAACTACTAACTTTTGTAAAACCTCTAGACTACTAACTTTTGTAAAACCTCTAGACTACTAACTTTTTAAAAACCTCTAGACTACTAACTTTTTAAAAACCTCTAGACTACTAACTTTTGTAAAACCTCTAGACTACTAACTTTTGTAAAACCTCTAGACTACTAACTTTTTAAAAACCTCTAGACTACTAACTTTTTAAAAACCTCTAGACTACTAACTTTTTAAAAACCTCTAGACTACTAACTTTTTAAAAACCTCTAGACTACTAACTTTTTAAAAACCTCTAGACTACTAACTTTTTAAAAACCTCTAGACTACTAACTTTTTAAAAACCTCTAGACTACTAACTTTTTAAAAACCTCTAGACTACTAACTTTTTAAAAACCTCTAGACTACTAACTTTTTAAAAACCTCTAGACTACTAACTTTTTAAAAACCTCTAGACTACTAACTTTTTAAAAACCTCTAGACTACTAACTTTTTAAAAACCTCTAGACTACTAACTTTTTAAAAACCTCTAGACTACTAACTTTTTAAAAACCTCTAGACTACTAACTTTTTAAAAACCTCTAGACTACTAACTTTTTAAAAACCTCTAGACTACTAACTTTTTAAAAACCTCTAGACTACTAACTTTTTAAAAACCTCTAGACTACTAACTTTTTAAAAACCTCTAGACTACTAACTTTTTAAAAACCTCTAGACTACTAACTTTTTAAAAACCTCTAGACTACTAACTTTTTAAAAACCTCTAGACTACTAACTTTTTAAAAACCTCTAGACTACTAACTTTTTAAAAACCTCTAGACTACTAACTTTTTAAAAACCTCTAGACTACTAACTTTTTAAAAACCTCTAGACTACTAACTTTTTAAAAACCTCTAGACTACTAACTTTTTAAAAACCTCTAGACTACTAACTTTTGTAAAACCTCTAGACTACTAACTTTTGTAAAACCTCTAGACTACTAACTTTTTAAAAACCTCTAGACTACTAACTTTTTAAAAACCTCTAGACTACTAACTTTTTAAAAACCTCTAGACTACTAACTTTTTAAAAACCTCTAGACTACTAACTTTTTAAAAACCTCTAGACTACTAACTTTTTAAAAACCTCTAGACTACTAACTTTTTAAAAACCTCTAGACTACTAACTTTTTAAAAACCTCTAGACTACTAACTTTTTAAAAACCTCTAGACTACTAACTTTTTAAAAACCTCTAGACTACTAACTTTTTAAAAACCTCTAGACTACTAACTTTTTAAAAACCTCTAGACTACTAACTTTTTAAAAACCTCTAGACTACTAACTTTTTAAAAACCTCTAGACTACTAACTTTTTAAAAACCTCTAGACTACTAACTTTTTAAAAACCTCTAGACTACTAACTTTTTAAAAACCTCTAGACTACTAACTTTTTAAAAACCTCTAGACTACTAACTTTTTAAAAACCTCTAGACTACTAACTTTTTAAAAACCTCTAGACTACTAACTTTTTAAAAACCTCTAGACTACTAACTTTTTAAAAACCTCTAGACTACTAACTTTTTAAAAACCTCTAGACTACTAACTTTTTAAAAACCTCTAGACTACTAACTTTTTAAAAACCTCTAGACTACTAACTTTTTAAAAACCTCTAGACTACTAACTTTTTAAAAACCTCTAGACTACTAACTTTTTAAAAACCTCTAGACTACTAACTTTTTAAAAACCTCTAGACTACTAACTTTTTAAAAACCTCTAGACTACTAACTTTTTAAAAACCTCTAGACTACTAACTTTTTAAAAACCTCTAGACTACTAACTTTTTAAAAACCTCTAGACTACTAACTTTTTAAAAACCTCTAGACTACTAACTTTTTAAAAACCTCTAGACTACTAACTTTTTAAAAACCTCTAGACTACTAACTTTTTAAAAACCTCTAGACTACTAACTTTTTAAAAACCTCTAGACTACTAACTTTTTAAAAACCTCTAGACTACTAACTTTTTAAAAACCTCTAGACTACTAACTTTTTAAAAACCTCTAGACTACTAACTTTTTAAAAACCTCTAGACTACTAACTTTTTAAAAACCTCTAGACTACTAACTTTTTAAAAACCTCTAGACTACTAACTTTTTAAAAACCTCTAGACTACTAACTTTTTAAAAACCTCTAGACTACTAACTTTTTAAAAACCTCTAGACTACTAACTTTTTAAAAACCTCTAGACTACTAACTTTTTAAAAACCTCTAGACTACTAACTTTTTAAAAACCTCTAGACTAACTTTTTAAAAACCTCTAGACTACTAACTTTTTAAAAACCTCTAGACTACTAACTTTTTAAAAACCTCTAGACAGTGGCGTAGCCAGGATCGTCTCAAGGGGGGGGTTCCAATTTTTACCAGGGGACAAACTTTCGATTTGCACCCCCCCTCAAACTTTCGATTTGCACCCCCCCCCTCAAACTTTCGATTTGCACCCCCCCCCCCCTCAAACTTTCGATTTGCACCCCCCCCTTCAAACTTTCGATTTGCACCCCCCCCCTCATACTTTTTATATATACCGAGGGGTCTATGGGGGGGGGGGGGTTATGACCCCCCCTAACCCCCCCCCCCCTGCCTACGCCACTGCCTCTAGACTACTAACACGAAAGTTTCGAGTTCGGATCCCGGGCTTGAGACTTTAGGGCGTCAATGAGCCAACTCAGCTTTGATGGGTACCCGACTCACGTTAGAGAAACAAAGGCGGCTGGGCTTAGTGCTGACCACACTATCCCCGAGGTCATTGAAAAAGAAAAACTCTACTTCATCTACCCTATGTGTCTTGAGCACAAACCAGAAAGGGTGATGCTGTTGATGATGCTGTTGATGATGCTGTTGATGATGCTGTTGATGATGCTGTTGATGATGCTGTTGATGATGCTGTTGATGATGCTGTTGATGATGCTGTTGATGATGCTGTTGATGATGCTGTTGATGATGCTGTTGATGATGCTGTTGATGATGCTGTTGATGATGCTGTTGATGATGCTGTTGATGATGCTGTTGATGATGCTGTTGATGATGCTGTTGATGATGCTGTTGATGATGCTGTTGATGATGCTGTTGATGATGCTGTTGATGATGCTGTTGATGATGCTGTTGATGATGCTGTTGATGATGCTGTTGATGATGCTGTTGATGATGCTGTTGATGATGCTGTTGATGATGCTGTTGATGATGCTGTTGATGATGCTGTTGATGATGCTGTTGATGATGCTGTTGATGATGCTGTTGATGATGCTGTTGATGATGCTGTTGATGATGCTGTTGATGATGCTGTTGATGATGCTGTTGATGATGCTGTTGATGATGCTGTTGATGATGCTGTTGATGATGCTGTTGATGATGCTGTTGATGATGCTGTTGATGATGCTGTTGATGATGCTGTTGATGATGCTGTTGATAATGCTGTTGATGATGCTGTTGATAATGCTGTTGATGATGCTGTTGATGATGCTGTTGATGATGCTGTTGATGATGCTGTTGATGATGCTGTTGATGATGCTGTTGATGATGCTGTTGATGATGCTGTTGATGATGCTGTTGATGATGCTGTTGATGATGCTGTTGATGATGCTGTTGATAATGCTGTTGATGATGCTGTTGATGATGCTGTTGATGATGCTGTTGATGATGCTGTTGATGATGCTGTTGATGATGCTGTTGATGATGCTGTTGATGATGCTGTTGATGATGCTGTTGATGATGCTGTTGATGATGCTGTTGATGATGCTGTTGATGATGCTGTTGATGATGCTGTTGATGATGCTGTTGATGATGCTGTTGATGATGCTGTTGATGATGCTGTTGATGATGCTGTTGATGATGCTGTTGATGATGCTGTTGATGATGCTGTTGATGATGCTGTTGATGATGCTGTTGATGATGCTGTTGATGATGCTGTTGATGATGCTGTTGATGATGCTGTTGATGATGCTGTTGATGCTGTTGATGCTGTTGATGCTGTTGATGCTGTTGATGCTGTTGATGCTGTTGATGCTGTTGATGCTGTTGATGCTGTTGATGCTGTTGATGCTGTTGATGCTGTTGATGCTGTTGATGCTGTTGATGCTGTTGATGCTGTTGATGCTGTTGATGCTGTTGATGATGTTGATGCTGTTGATGCTGTTGATGCTGTTGATGCTGTTGATGATGAATTAAAAAAATAATTTCAATAAATGTTTGGTATTTAATATTTGACATGAAATGTTTGATATTAAACTAAACTTATTTGTTTGACATGAACAAGTAAATGCTGGTCTATTTGTTGGGTATTGGTCTCTCCT